TACTGTATATTAGTGACTGTCAGTGTAGTTTGGTGAAAATGAGAGTTAAATGTATGCTCCTCCTTTGAACTTCTGTCATAGACTTGTATATTTTGGTGAAAAAATGCTAATTTCCCTTTAAGATCAATAAAAATAAATCACCCTAAAGCTTTTAACTGTCAGAGAATGCAAATATAACTCCACTGTTAAGAAGGTTCCCATGCTCATCTGTTGAGTCTAGTATAAATATGCCAAATTTATGTGGATTCACCCTCAATTTACTCTAAGCTGATTAATCTGGGATAAATTCACAATAAAAATTGTGTTGTAATCAGACTTATCATGATGTAAGGAGGAGACTGACTCTGCATCCTGTCGCACTGTGTTTTCTGGAAGCTTTGTTTTCGACTGCGGGAAGTAACCAGCACCGTGGAATTCCCAGCTACTCTGGCCATTTCCCAGTCGATGTGACCCTGGCCTCTATTTGGAAGACTTCCAACAACCACACCAACTTATTCCCTCCTCTTGGGTCCGCATGTTTATATTTAAAAATTTTGAGCTTGCAGGCAGAACAAGTCAAAGATGGAATACACAACAGCAGAAACTGTGGGCAAATCTTGTTTTAAAAAAAAATGTATTTACTTTTTTTGAGAGATACCATCTGGCAGTGGACAGAGAAGTCATGATCTGCATATTCACTCAGCTGACAACGCAGGTGGAGGCTTACCTAATGCATTCCAACTAAGACTGCCACTGGCCACAAGTGGTGCACGTGATCCTATCTATGTATTATCAAAATGTCAAGTGGCCATTGAACAGCTGGAGATAAAGCAGCGAATCAGTGTTAACTAGCCTCAGATTCAGTGGAACATCAGTGACTGCACATGTGAAAGAAGAGTCACAGTATCCAGTGCCAGAAACACGTCTCTCATTAACTTTCTCTTGCAACCAGCTCATAAAACTGAGCATATTTCCAATCCTGACACACTATTTTTTTTTTATTAATACATGCACAAGCTATTTTTCACCCATCTGGTATCAAGCTTCATGAGCATATTTAAGAAAACATCATACTTTGTTGATACACTCTTGCTTCAATTAACTAGGTTAGCTTAATTATGAACCCCCTGATCATGCACATGACCTTTTTTTTAAGTCATGCAGAGCTTCATCTTTTTCCTGGAATAGTCACAGGTAGAAAAGGAGTTTTCCAAAGAAGTCTCTGCAGGAGGTTAATGAATCTGCACTTGCTGGCACTGAAACATATCCTCCTGCTCCAAAGCTAACAAAACCCCCCCGGGAGGTCGGGAAGACACATGGCTAACTGGGTACATTGCCAAAAAATTAGATGCAGGCAAGAGAAAATCATTTTTATAGGAAGTGAGAAGCAACAATATCAAGTGCTAATGTGCCATCTCTAATTCTGAAATATGGCTGTATTTTAGGACAACTTGGTGAGCGGGAACAGCAGGTTCACAAGGTTCCTGGAAACAAGACATCCATGTCACGTCAGCCCGATTTGTTCATTGCTGTCTAGTCCACATTTATCATTTAATTTGCTAAATTCAGACCATGCAAGTCAATGGGTCTGGCAACGTGTCAGCGTTATCTTGTCATCATAATACATTAAAGACATTAAAAATGAATGAACAAAAAAACAAAAGAAAAAAATGAGAAAACCCTCCACTTTGTACGCAGAGTTATAAAAATAACACTCATCGTTAATACAGTTTTAACCAGTAGCATTTCGGGTTTTCCCCTCTCCTTCCATTGCAACAGCAAGTAAATGTTTGACCGCTTTTAAGTGCTCATGTGCTGTTTTTGGGGTCGGGTAAAGCCTATTCTGGTAAAGGCCTGTTAAATGTATCTAGGCAAGCACATCGCTGAGAGCTCGGTCTGCTTGGCAACACTTGAGTGGGGAAATAAGAGCTGAGCGCTTTCCGGAAATAAACAGTGAATGTGGATCATTAGTACGATCTAACATCAGGTCGCTAAAATGCTCACACTAACCTGCTAATGCTTGTCAAGAATAATATTTACCATCTTATGTAATTTGGCACACTGACATTTGCTACTTAGCACTAAACACATGGACAAACAGGGCTGTTAGAGCACATCAGATTTTCCTGGTATCGACCTACAAACCTAAGTGAAACTTAGGATGGTACTTTGCGAAAAAAGAAGGGGATTACTTTAGTGCCACGCGCTCTCCTATCAGAAACATTAAAGTGTTTATGTGTATCTGAGACATTCAGAAATCCATCCATGGAAGTCCATCTGTAAGGTACTGAGATATGTCTAGATATTGTCATTACTAGACAAAATCAAAGGTGGGATATGAGGCTCCTTCTCAAGCACTGGGAAGGCCTGTATTGTTGTGACGGTGAGTTCTTCATTTCTCTCCATTAGAGTTAAAATCCAAGCTACTAAACCCATTGCGAGGAGAGTTAAAGATTAACCTTCAGGTGACTGAGTAGAGCCTCATATTTAAAGATACCGCTGGGATATTTCTCATTATAAAAATGTCTCCTACCATGAATCTGTGAATCCGCTGGTCCTAGTATAGTTCGATTTCCTGCTGCAGAATCCCTGAGGCAGATACTCAATGCACAACGTGATGACAAAAACAGTATTGGGATAAATCTTTTTTTTTTTGCTTCAATATAATAATAATAATAATAAAGATTATTTACAGGATTTTATCATATTTGGGGAAAGAAATGTATTCTTGTATCATCACCATGATTCCTGTTGCTAAAGTTGCTTGGTCACTTGAGAGCTAATCAGCTCTATGTGGCCAATTCGATAAATACGCTCTTTCTAGCACATTCAAGCAAAGCAATGTTCAGTGCAAATCAATACACAGTTGCTCTGAGTGGTCACGTTCACCCTCTGATGAAACATTTCTTTGCTAACGGCAGGGGTCTCTATCAAAATGACAATGCCCAATCAATAGGGCGGGAGGAGCGCTCACTGAAGGGTTTGATAAGTATGAAGTAGTGGTTGGGCCCTTATTGCCAATACCAATACTGATTCTTTTATCCTATAAAAGCAGCTCATGACTCATGAGACTAATTACCACTGAATCACCATGATTTTTACTTTCCACAACTAGCAAACAACAAAACATATTGTGAAGCTTTTCATGTATTTTTAAACTTTTTTGGGGGGCTAGAATGTGCCTGTCTCTAAACAACTTTGGAGGCTGTACAAAGTATCGATTATGTTGCGCTAGTATCCATCTGAAACTAATACCAGTGTTGGTGTTGACAGTATCCATATTCGGATAGATCTGCCCACCTCTAGTATGAAGCCAATGTGAATCTGATGGTATGGTCTTCCCTGAAGCAAGATTTCAGCCCAGCATTTGTGAGATTTTCAAACTTCAGGTTTAATTCTTGTTCGGTCATCAAAACACCAAATGACAGAACATCTTTTAGAAGATATGCTTGATAGGGTCACAGGGACTTATAGACTGAAAAAACAAGGCAAATGGAAGCTGCTCTGGTGGCACATAGTGGGCTAACATCTTAATGAAACTCTTAATGCAGGCTCTTTATTTTGTCACCTATCTGTAGATACACATGCCTCATTTTTAAAGTTAAATAGAAAGAAAACTGTTGCTAAATCTACATTTTCTTTGGACGTACAGCACACAGCAGTGTGCAAAAAGGGACGAATTGCCTGCTGATGGTTTGAAAATGAATATGTGGATTGAATCCCATGGCTTCTGTCCATAATCCTGATTCATTTTTGCCCTCTGTTTTCATGCGACGTCCTCTGCACAAGTGATCCCTGCGAGCATTGCTCATTCCTCAAGGGATCAGATGTTGTAGACAGATTATGCAACAGTCAGATATCTATGACGACTTGTTAGATGACTGCAGGAAGTCCTGGAGAGAGTTCAAGAGAATTATTATGCAGGACGATTGTTTCTTTAGCTGCAACACAAAACTAAGATGTGAATTTTGCTGGTGGGAAACACAAGACCTAAAATGACCCAATGAGTTTAAGGTTAATCTCACTGATATGTAACACTCAAACAGGAAAAGCCTTTGATCTAAGTTAAAGAGGTGAAAATGTTGTGCATGAGTTAAAAAGAGAGAGAAGGCACAGCAAAACTAGGAATGTAGAGCTTAATCCCAGAGTTTCTCCTGAAGTGATTCAGCCCCTGTTGTGTAATACATGATTGTATCCATGTGGTGCTCAGTCTTAAATCAAGTTGTAAAAAATAAGAACTTATCAAAGTGTTGCAACATATTATTGGAGGAATTTTCAAGAAAAGCTACACAATCATCACTGTATCACAAAGCGTCTTCCCTGGAATGTAACGCAGCCGGTTGCCCTCTCCAACAATTCACAGGAAAACTGAATTCTTTCTGTGAGGCTCTGCTCACTCTGCTCACCTTATTTGGAGCAGAGGAAGCCTCTCCTTGTTCCCGCTTCCAGAGCCAGATGTTTATACAATGTTGATGTATATGAAAAAGAGAATAGGTTAAACATGCCACACAAAACCTGAGAACAGCAGAATGGATGCGTAGATTCCTCAATACAAAACAGATTGTCAAGCAATCGACTGTCACAGCTCATGAAACAATCTGCCGGTGGTCAAAAATCCACCATAATTTCCATAAATGGTCAAACAGTGGCACGATCAAGGGCTTTTTATGGTTACAGGTATGGACGAGTGACATTTATCATTAGCACAAGCCTTTGGATTTGGGAGGTTGTGGATCTGCTTTTTTTTCAACAACATATTCTTTATTTGGTCAAAAATAATACATTTTTATTCAGTCTAATAATTGTTCAAAGCTTGCAAAATGTACCTGATGTGATCTAGTGAAGTTTTATTATTGTGGAAAGATTTAGTATTTGAGTGTTCACTTGATTAATGAAGAATTCTGATGAGTGTGATTTAAATCATTTAAGACATTAATAAGAAAGATCATATCTTTTAAAGACCAACTATGTAGATGTACACTTTCTATATGTTTTCAAACCTAAATTAGTTGCTTTATGTTTCAGTGGCTGAAGAATAAGCCAAAAGCTGAGAGCTCAGAAGGAGGGTAAAGGTCATCATTCAACTCTGGATCGCAGAGAGTGATAAGCAGGGAACAACTTGGAAAGGTCCATTAGAGAGACTTTGGGAGGAAACCAAAGGGAACATTCAGAGAGCAGTCTGGTGGATTCAAACTGAGGACCTGCTTGCTGTGAGGCAAGGCTGTTAACCACTGCACCACTGTGTCACATATAGACACAGAGTAGAGCTGTTCGATATAACGATATATATCGGATGATGATATAAAAACGTCTATCATTTCATTTTACGCTATGGTTTGTTTCGTGGTGTCGTAAAATAAACAGTTTACAGCAATATTTTTTCATCGTTTTGATGGTCACTGTAGTGGCAATATTAATTTCTATAAGTTCTCTCTTTCTCTTATATTTTACATAACCACACTACTGACGGTCAAGCCCCTGTTTTTACATGTTGTCGATAGCAACAACCACGGTAAAACCATCGCGTGGCTCCGCTGTCCGCTTGTTTGTTTTCTACGCAAACCTTTCACAATAAAGCTCAAGATCCTGTTGAGACTTTTCAAAATAAACTGAATCACGTGAAAGAGTAATGAGTTTACGGATGAGAAGAAAAACAAAAGAGCCGTCAGGTGCTAAAAAATTAGTCTTAGACTCAAACTTTGAAAGAAAATGGTGGCCGATACAACTTATGTCTAAAAATCAGAATCAGAATCAGAAAGGGTTTTATTGCCAAATGTTGAGCGGGTTTACAACAATAGTGTAGGATTTGCTTATAATAACCAGTCCGCTGTAACTGTATGCCAGGCGTTTATTATCAGCCAACATGAACGTCCGTACGCTCGTAACAGGAAGTACACATAACATCTAGAGAGAACTACAGCGACACCTGCTGGAACTCTCCGTAACGGCAGCAACAGGAGGCAGTATGGACAAACATAACATTGCTGTTATCTACATCCCCCTTTTCAGTTTTTTTTTTCTTCTTCTTAATTTTGCACTTTTCAGGCAAACCCAAATCAAACAACACCACAGTGATGGAAGAACTTATCAGGTTATGGATTACACAACAAAATGAGGCTTCAAATATCAAATGAAATTCACAGTAATCATTGCCATTACTGCGACAAGTATGCAACAACATAACACGAGATAAAACACATTTCAAAACAGAAAATACAGCACCGGTGTGCTTTTAATCCACGTATTTACTATTCGGTTTAGACACTCTACCAGATCTGGTTCGGTACAAGTTGTCATCAGAGCGTACTTGGCATTTTGTAGGTGTTATCACCTGTTCTGACTGTTTTGTGCCATGTTGTGGTGGGTTGAGTTGAACTGTTTCATGTTTGTTGGTTTGTGTTTTATTAGGTTTAGTTTCATCCGCTCGTCGAGATGAGTCCAGTTCATCTTGTGTTGTAGCGAGCTTTTCGGGTTGAGGCTCGCTCACAGGCAGAAGATGTTGTCTGTTGCGCCTGTATTCTTTTCCACCCGACTCAACGACATATGAGCGAGGTTCAGCACATACTTTACTTACAACTCCAATCTTGTCATGTCCTCTCTGTGTTTGTAATCTCACCACCTCGTTTGGTGTTAATGGACTGAGCAGCTTGCTGGACTTGTCGTAGTGCTGTTTTTGAGTTTTACGCTTTTTTGTGAGTTGAGTTTTGATAGTGGTTGTCACTTTTGCTGTTGGTGTTAGCAGTTTTTTGCACACAGGAAGGGTTGACCGCGTTCGTCTTGATAGCAGCCTCTGTGCTGGTGAGCCAAGAATGTTGTCTCGTGGCGTGTTGCGTAGATGTAACAGGTTCAAATAGAAATCAGTTCCATCTCTTTTTGATGTTTCAAGGAGTCTTTTAGCACTCCGGACAGCTCTTTCACTGAGTCCATTTGACTGAGGGAACTCAGGGCTGCTTGTGACGTGTATGAACTCCCAGTGTGTGGCAAACTCACGAAAGGTCTGGCTGATAAACTGGGTGCCATTGTCTGAGTACAGTTTCTGTGGTATCCCATGTACTGAGAAGTGGTGTTTGAGTTTGTTAATGACTGAGGCCGATGTTAGGTTTTCAAGTTTATCTATTTCAAACCATCCAGAATATGAATCCACGAGCACAAGGTAGTGGCGATTGTCCCATTCGAATAAGTCTGTGGCTGTGATGGACCAGGGAAGATCAGGAATTTGGTGTAGTTTCAGGGGTTGTTTTTGTTGGTGAGGCTTTAGACTGTTGCGAATGCTGCATGATTTGACTTTGTTCTCAATGTCAGAGTTTATTGTCAGCCAGAATACGCTGTCCCTTGCTCTCCTTTTTGTAGACTCCATGCCTGGATGTCCCTTGTGTAGTTCCTGCAGATAGGTTTCATGTAGTGATGCTGGAACGATGGCTCTGTTGCCTTTCATAATGACATTGTTGTCGATGATTAGTTCATCGTGGTAGCTGAAGAATGGTTTTATTTCTATAGGCACGCTACTTGCTTGTTTTGGCCACCCCTGCTGGATGTAGCGAGCAAGTGTCTGTAGGGTAGCGTCCTTCGAGGTGTGTTCGGTGAGCTCTTGTAGGCGTTTTGGTGAGATGAGCTGAAGTGACATTACCTCGAAGTCGCGCCCCTCTTCCTTTAGAGGTTGCTCATCCAGCGTTGGTGTGCGAGAGAGTGTGTCTGCGATGTAAAGGTGTTTGCCTTTCTTGTACACCAGAGTCAAGTTGAACTTTTGTAATCGTAGCATCATGCGCTGTAGCCGTGCCGGGACCGTGTGGAAAGGTTTGTTTTGGATTGTGACCAAAGGCTGATGGTCAGTTTCAATCACCACTGGCTTTCCGTAGATGTAGTCGTAAAACCTGTAACATGCGAACACTACAGCTAGTAACTCCTTCTCTATCTGAGCGTACCTTCTCTCTGTTGGAGTTAAAGTTCTTGATGCATATGCCACAGGTTTGTCATCCTGAAGGCATGCAGCCCCCAGACCATGCTGGGAAGCGTCACATGTGAGAGTCACTGGCTTGTGCATGTCATAGTATTGAAGTACTGGTGGGCTAGTGAGGCATGCTTTAAGTTTGTTGAAAGCATCCTGCTGATGTTGAGTCCAGCTCCACACCACATCCTTGTGAAGCAACTGACGAAGTGGTGCTGACAGTTCACTTAAGTTTGGGATGAACTTGCCCAGGTAGTTGATCATTCCCAGGAAACGTTGGAGAGACGTCTTGTCCTCTGGTGGTGGCATTTCATTGATTGCGGAGATTTTAGTTGGATCTGCTTTTAGTCCTTCGTCAGTGAATATGTGTCCCACGTAGCTCACTTCTTTAAGTCTGAACTTGCACTTTTTTGGATTCAGTTTGAGTTTTACTTGTCTGGCTCGCTCCAGAATCTTTTTTAAATTTTTGTCATGCTCCTCTATTCCTTTGCCTCCCACTATGATGTCATCCACTATCACTGCGCATGGATATCCCATGAATATTTGTTCCATGGCTCTCTGGAAGACTTCAGAAGCGGTGTTGATGCCAAAGGGCATCCTCAGGAATTTGAATCTGCCGAAAGGTGTTGCAAACGTAGTGAGAAGAGATGAGGCAGGATCTAGTTTGATTTGCCAGAAGGAGCTCTTTGCATCCAGAACTGAGAAGATGGTTGCTCCCGACATCTGAGCAGCTACTTCCTCCACAGTTCGCATGGGATGGTGAGGTCGCATTAGTGCCTTGTTCAGATCCCTTGGATCAATGCAGATACGAACATCATCTGTATTCTTTTTGTGTGTTGCAACCATGTTAGATACCCATTCCGTGGGCTCCTCCACTGGTTCAATTACTCCCAGGGCCTGCATTCTTTGAAGTTCCTCTTTAACCCTTTTCTGCATAGGAACAGGAATGCGTCTTGGAGGGTTGACGACAGGTGACACGTTTGGAGTGAGTTTCATTGAGTAAGTTATAGGTAAGTCACCGACTTCATCTTTAAACAGGTCTGTGTATTCATGAAACACTTTCTGCGCTAGTGTCTCATCCTGATCTGTGTCAACTTGGTAGACTTCCTTGCTGAAACTAACCAGTTTCATTCGCACGCTGTCCTTTAATCCGATGATGGGTTGCACATCGTGTTTTACAACTTGGAATTGCAGGTCATATAACTGTCCAGCTAGCTTGCACTTGAGAGTAACTGTGCCTGTGGTCTTGATCTTCGTGCCTCCGAAAGCAACAAGATTTACCTGTTTTTGTGACTTGAATAGGGTTTCGTTGTTGCCGATCTTTCTGTAAGTGTCTAGTGAGATTACGTTACATTTTGCCCCAGTGTCTACTTTTAGTTTGAGGGCCTTATCAGAAACTTTGACTGTGCAGTATCCTTCTTTGTTGTGATTGTTCTCACCCTCCATTGTTAGGTGCTCAATGCAAAATGTCTCATCACTGTCTGGGTCAGCATCCTCTGAAATTTGGTTCACTTGTTTGCCTCTGTGATGTTGTTTTGCTGATCTGCATTGTTTTTTGTAATGATTGTATTTTTTGCAGACGTGACACTGTTGTCCGAAAGCAGGACATTGCTCCCTTTTGGCTGGATGCGAACCACCACAGTTTCTGCAATTTTGAATGTTCGTTAGAGGTTTATTTATTTTCCTTTTGAACTTGCCATGTTTAATCTGTACAGTGTCCACACTAGCAGATGTAATATGCTTTGGTGTAGAGAGGGCTTTGCTATGTTGATCTGTGAGTTCGCTTATTTGGCATATACGCACCGCCTTGGCAAGAGTGAGTTCCGTCTCTTTAAGAAGGGAACGTCTGACGCTGTCACTGGTTATACCACATACTAATCTGTCTCTGATTAACTCGTCTTGTAGTGCACCAAAGCTGCAGGTTCTGGCCATGTTCTTTAACGTGCTCACGTATGCTTCAATGGTTTCATCGGGTTTCTGTTGTCTTTTGTTAAAGTTATGCCTCTCCATTATGACATTGGTCTCTGGGTTGCAGATTTCCCTGAACTTTCTCTTTAGGCATGCGGGGTCTTCCCTCGATTCCGCGGCGACTTCTACTATGCCTTCAGCTGATATGACTGCGGGGGCATACGTGAATCATCGCTCTCTTTCAATGGCCTCTGGTCCCGCCATATTGAGGAGTATATAGGCCTTAGTCTTAGCATTTTTGTCACTGTGGGTAGCGGCGATAAAGATGTCATATTCGCGCTTGAACTTACGCCAGTTTTCAGCGACGTTGCCGTCAAAGATGAGAGGATCTGGGCACCGGAATCCGTCCACCATGTTGTGCGGTGATTGCTCTTTTCGTCGTCCTTACTGGCTCCGCTTTTCTTCTTGGACTGTGCAGGCTTTCTAATACATCCCACTTCTGACACCATGTAGGTTTTGCTTATAATAACCAGTCCGCTGTAACTGTATGCCAGGCGTTTATTATCAGCCAACATGAACGTCCGTACGCTCGTAACAGGAAGTACACATAACATCTAGAGAGAACTACAGCGACACCTGCTGGAACTCTCCGTAACGGCAGCAACAGGAGGCAGTATGGACAAACATAACATTGCTGTTATCTAGAGGTGTGGACTCGAGGCACATGACTTGGACTCGAGTCAGACTCGAGTCATTAATTTTATGACTTTAGACATGACTTGAAAAAATGTTCTAAGACTTGTGACTTGACTTGGACTTTTACACCAATGACTTGGGACTTGAATTGGACTTGAACCGGTTTACTTGAAAAGACTTGATATTTCACCCCAAATATAAAATTTAACATGCATATTATATAGAGATTGAAAATGTGACGTCATTCACGGGTAGAACCGCAAAGGATTCTGGGAACTCGTGGCAAGCGGTACTAGCGCACGCAGGCTTTCAATTAAAATCAGTTATACAGCGATAAAAAGAAACACAAAAATGTCAAGAAGCTGTTGTATTATTAACTGCAATAGCCGGTCGCATGATAGCCACGGGAAGCCGACGGGTAAAGAGATCGGATGTTATCGGATTACGTCGTTGAAGAGAAATTGTTCAAGACATGTTTCCGAAGTAACAAAGACGCGACGGATGGCCTGGATTGCAGCCATTCAAAGACAAAATATAACGTCCCAGAACACTCCAGCTCACAGGTTAGTCTGCTCCAAGCATTTCCACAAAGGTCAGTCTGCTGTAGTAGTTAATGCGTCACTTTCATAACATAATTGGTGACATAGGTTACAAGCAAGTCTGGCGCTGAACAGAAATTGTCGCGCTATGCTCCTTTATTTATTGTGCATAAATAGTGAATTGTCCTGACACAATATTGTGTTTCGCTTCTGTTATTATGGTACATTGACAAAAACATATACTTTTATTCACAGGATAAAACAGGTTTTTTGTATCACCAATTGCCCAGTACGATTACAGCATACAATATTATTGTCACTGCTACATTTCTGTGATGGGTACCAGAAATTATTTCCACTACTAATTAATTACCGTTGAGCTCAAAGGTCCTATTAATAAACGGTTAACGAATGTGTATTTATGACGACGATTTGTGAGACTGGTAAACTTATGATACGTACGATGGTCTTTACTTTCTACACGGTGCATTTCAAGGTCCTGCACCCATCCGGCGGTAAACTGTACCTGGGCTTGTTGCAGTGACCTGAAGTTACTAAACTTCATGAGTGTATGCACTCACTCCAAGAACCGTATGATTATAAATATGCATATAAATATGCTACGATGAGATAGCTGACTTCATCTAACTAGCAAATGTTTTCCAGGCTACGTTGGTGATGCAGTTTTTTTTTAAAATGATATTTAAAAAAAATATCATTTATTTATGTATGATATTTTTGTCATGCGATTTTAAAGCCGGTCCTACAACCGCATCCAAGAATAACATGCAGCTTATCTCAGAACTGTCGGTGAAAATTATTCTTGGAGCTAGGTTTAATTGAGCTGCATTTTAAAGAGGTGCAATTTCACAATTTGTGTATATTTTCTAAGTTCACTATTTTGTCATGTGTTGAGAAAAACACAGATTTAAAAATTACATGGTCTAATATTTACATTTAGCATATAACTGCAACATGCTTTTTTCGTTTTTTTTTTAAAGACTCGAAACGACTTGAAATTCAAAATTTCAGACTTGTGACTTTACTTGGACTTTTACACCAGTGACTTGAGACTCGACTCTGACTTGCCTGACATTACTTGAGACTTGACTTGAGACTTGAGGATAAAGACTTGAGACTTACTTGAGACTTGCAAAACAATGACTTGGTCCCACCTCTGCTGTTATCTACAATTAGGAAATTGCTGCGGTGCTTCAGTGCAAACATACTGTTATAAATTAAGCTTAAATAGACATGAAAATAAAAATGAGAATAAGAATTAAAAGTGCTAAGTAGATAGATAGATATATACATACATGATATATACATGAGTGCAGGTGGTGATCAGTGCCAAACATGGAATGATGCAGTGAACACAGCGTAGGTATATGTATAGTTTCATGCATCGGTTAAAACACTGGAATCCAGGTAAAGCTGGAAAAACTTCACGCAAGTCGAATTGCCCGAGATTCACAGAATTTACAGAAAATATTACATTTTTGTGATTTATATCGTTGTCAGGACGATAAATGTCTTATATCGGGATATGAGATTTTTGTCATATCGCACAGCCCTAATTCAGAGTGAAGTTTGGCACCTATTCACAGTAAAATGGAAAGCACACTTATTTACAGGCCACAACAGCTGGTTTGCATGAGGTGTCAAGAAATCTGATATTCCAAGAAAATCATGTAATCCACTTGTGAATGTTGATATCTGTACAGTTTTTCACAAGCAGACGTTAGTTAAAGAAATGCAATCTGGGCAGACGTGCAGCTTGGACACATCAGCAGTGAGTAAATCAGGGTCATCGGGAGTTTTGGGTCTATGATCCATCCATAATAAAGACAATGATAAAGCAGATATGAGATTCTCTTCACTGGTTGCTGGAGCAGGTTGGGCTGCTCCTTAGTTTTGTGTAGGATGGGACAATTGCAGGGAATAGTAAGGGCAGGGATTATTTAATGCTCCTTTAATCATCACAGTTTCTCAGTTTACACTGTCATTTGCAAGCAATTAAAAAGATAAATGCACCAGATTCCCCCCTGCCTTTTTGGATTGTCTCCAAAATCCTCCCACTTACGTTGGAAGGTTTTAACATAATGTGGTCCTTAATGACCGTGTTTGCATAAAAGCTCCCTCAAATCTTTGAAACAAGACAAAGTGTTTCACATTAACAGGAGAGGAGATAGCCTACTAAATGAGCACGGTGACAGTTTCACAGTGCTCCGTGTCTGATTGGAAGTGCAGAAAGACACGGCACATACTGTACAACAGTCACTTTAAATGCTTTAAAATTCGCTCAAGGCCATTGAGTGCCAGTGTGAAACATCTACCCACACAGCAACCAGTGCTCTATTTCCTTTAAGAGGCTCAGCACTGCTGACTGTCTCAGGCAGCAGTGAGTCATTAGTGAAGGTAAAATGGTAAACCTTCTGTTCAGGCAAAAACACCAGCCAGCAATCAAAGCGGCACAATGGAAAAATGGAAAAATCGCATATAACAAAAAAAGCACAAGCTGTCAGGCAGCGTCACAGATATGACTGCTAATGCAAATCATTTATGTGACAGCATATGTCGCAGATATGCATTAGTAGTCATGTATCTGACATGCACTGCAGTGCAATAAGTTTTTGCTGAGCTACGCCTCAGTGAACTTTAATAATCATCTTTAGCCTTATTAAAATATCCCCAGGGTCTTCTGGGATTTTCAGATCCTATTTTGGTGATTTCCACCAGAGAGTCTCTCAGCCACGGAGCCTGAGCGTGATGTGTTTGAAAACCGAGTTTATAAAACAGGAATGTCAATAATTCTGCTGTGGATTAAAAGCTGTCACGAGTATGATAAATCCTTTAGATGTTAATATATCGATAGGACATTTTTAAATGCAGCCTGAAAAGAAGCCAGTCACACAAATCAAGGGTGAAACTAATGACACGTCAAGGTCTTTGCAAAGATCCCTGATTTCTTTTGTAATCTTTTGCCTCGTCCTTGTGGTCCTGCTTCATTTCCCTTCTGTTTCCCGTGTGTGTGCACGTATGCTTTCATGTTTTTCTGCACGACTTATTCTTTGTCCCTCTTTCAGTTTAAGCGTTTTATTTTTAAAGTAATCTCGTCCCTTCATTTTGTTCTTTCCCTGCCCTTACTATTGTCTTGATTGATCACATGTGTCTCACTATTCCTTTATCTGCTCTTTTTGTAGTCTGTGGATGCCAGTAAATAGTCAAAGTGAAATCACAGGGATGTGGGAGAATCAGAGCAGATTCAATAGGCTGCTTAAAAGTCTGATGGTGAATTCTGAC